GAGAGAGAGAGAGTTTGCAAGTAATTTACACTAAAATTATTAATTATATGTTTTGATAGGGCTTTTGGCACAACATTTTAAAAGTCGTATAAAAGTGTAATATTTTAAAATTGTTATTATAGCTTATAATTACTGATGAATTCAATGGTGTGTCCAAAGATTGGATGTCTAGAGAGGAACTGGAGTTTTGTTATTAATGCTAAACTCATATCTAAAATATATTCAAACGATTATATAATAAAAATTCTTTTCATTAAAGTTTAATAACACTTAAAAGTAAAATAAAAATTATTTTGTCTAGAAAATTATGCTATATTTCCGTTTATTACAGTAAATAGTGGCGATTAGTTTTGTACACAATTACCAAGATTATTCATAATGTTTATAATGGACTACTATTATGTACTTGATATAATGGGAAACACATTTGTTTGAACAACATTATATTAACATTCATTTTACTATATAATATTATAGCTAAATGCAAGTATAATTAAGTTTTGTGATTAGGATTAATACAGTTTTTAAATATTATAGTTTTTAAACATGAATGCGAAGTATTTTATAATACATGATATGTTTTGTGAAAATTATTTTTTGTCGTTGATTTGTTCAAATAGTTTTCACTTTTTAATTATACATTCATTAAAGCAATGATAATATAGTAAATGAAATATAAACTCTTGACAAGAAAAATACAAATTATTTCTGACTTTTTAATTGAATGATTAAAATCGCTATCATTTTCTATAGAGAAAATACTTTTTGCTTAAATTACTCAAAACTATTTACTCTTAAAAATTAGATATAAATATATTTTGTTGTTATCACTGTTTACTATACAGTATAAGTAAAAAGTAAAATATACTCAACATGAATAAGTAATTGAAAGGTATGTCCACTAATACCTGCGCCCACTATATGTATTGCTAAACCAATTCACGGTATACTGAATATAATGTCTAAACTACTTATAAAAAATATAAGTTATTAGTTAACAGGGTTGTTCACTACAGTATATGAATGTTTAATGTAATTTCAAAAATGAATTCACAGTATAATATCGATGACAGGGGTTGTGGTCCAGAGATACCTACTTATGATTGTCAAGTGAAAAGGAGACGACAGATAGTACTTGGGTGGTGTCTGTCCACCAGACATGGTATGCCGGGTGATATCAGTTTGCATAACACATATACAGAGTATAGGGGTTTACGACACATTGCGTGAGAGTTTTGGCGATTATAATGAATTTTGTGTTTATCATGCAATAAGTCTATAAAAAAAAGTTTAAAAGGTCTTTTCAAAACCCTAATTGAAAAACAATTTCTGAACACAAATAAAATTTTTTATTAATTTGTTTTTAATCAGAATTGAACATAAAATGTTACAGTAATTAATAAACACTTTTTAAACAGTAGATCGATTAAGTTAAAAACATGTTTTGTAAAAGGGTGATAAAAGGACTATTTACATACGTAAATAAGTATCCGTTACTAATCGGCTATGGGTCCCATAAATCACTTCCGGTGTGTCACCAGGACCCACATAATTATGTGCCTAATGTTAATCGGTTAGTATTCATTAATATTATTAATAATAACTTTTTATACATATAATTATTATTTGAGATTTAGGAGTTGAGTAATTTTGCTTAAACCTAAAATACATACTCTCTCTCTCTCTCTCTCTCTCGTAAGTCTCGCAAATAATATAGCAGTTAATTAATGACTTTATTTCTAAAGCCATAGAATTAGTCTCAAAAGAAATATTCAAATGAAAACTGAAGTGAATGTCATTTAATAGCACTCATTGTGTCTATGATTAGAGAGAGAGAGAGAGAGAGAGACGGGAACTGATTCACTGATTGTCTACTATAAGAGAGAGTGTATATAAAAAATTGAGTACAAAAAGATTATTTTGTGAATTTGTTTCCAAATAACAGACAATTATTAACATTTGATAAATGATGTGAAGACACGCATACATACACTATCAACTCATATGAATACATAAACTGAGACTAAGCTACCGGTGCTGTGGGCATATGGGTCCCCGAGAGAGACAGTGAGAATCCCAGTGCACTTTTCCACGAGTAATTTTCCGTGTGTTAAGTCTCAGAGTTTTATAGATGTCTTTCCACTCAACTCCTCATTCATAACAAATTACAAACTTATTAATTATGTGAAGAGATTTGCTTTTTNAAACGTGTGCTGGCTGAGGGCACTGATAATTCATTTGGTAGTACTTGATCAGGGTCGATTAATTTGTATTTTTGTGTAGCGTCTGCCATACTTATAATAATAAAAATGTATGTAAGTTATAAATTAATATTAATAATTATATTGTTTTGTACTTGTTATAAAGTACCTCTAGTGCTAAAACAAATTGATCACTCAATATATAAAATAATTAACATTAATGATAAGTAAAATAAATGCTAATTGATTTTAGGTACATGGTACACTTATTAATTTAATACATTATTCTATTAAATAAGAATTATAATTTAATAACATAAATTGTTTTATTTGTTTTCCATTAACACAATACAAAAATCGATATATTAAAATTATTTATATAATATATAATTATAAATACACGTGTGAGTTAACTATAATAAAAATTGTATTTATTATTTAAGTAAGAATATTTTTCAAATCAATTTGTTTTGCAGGGTGATAATGGTTATAGAAGCAATTTTTACTGTACAAACAATTTTAACATTTTATTAAATACAGATTAATTTAACAGATTCTGTACATGATTAATTTAAGATTATAGTAAATTGAAATAAAAATAAGACAATTTCAAATAAATAAATGTAAAATTATTCATTTTTGTATTCGACCAATTAAATATGCTAATTATTAAAATACATATAATTTTGATGATATATATTAAAGATCACAATTACGTAATTGGATTCAATGGCATAACTCGACATTTATATAAATTTAAGTATATTAACAATAAATCAAGAAATATAAATCCGACCTTACCGAGTGATACACCATTTGAAAGATAATTAAATCCTCTCTCTTTGAGCTATGGAACACTTTTACCTAGCTACTATTTTATTGTTATTAATTATTGATTGAAAATTTCCCATTGATATTTCCATAGAGATTCTTGATTTTCAAAAGTTATTTGTAACTGAACCATATGTCGTAGCTGTGAAATCTCGATGCCGTATGAAAGTTCATACCTTCCTCTATAAATTTGCTATAGATTGTGATTATCTTGCTCATTTTGTTCATACAGTAACTCATGTCTGCAAGAGTGTCCATAGAAATAACATTAATATAAGTCGCACCTGGGTGTTTAGTATGTCAAAAAATTTGCTATACTTTCTAGTTTTAGAAACCGTCGAGAGTACCTTGCTATCTAATTTGGTTTTCGAGATATGAGCCTGAACCTTTACCCGCTAATGGTGAAACACACTGTATTTTCATTATGCAGGTAAAGGTGTAAAACAATAAACCCTGTCATTAATAAATGCATAAAAAATATTTATACCTTGATTAAAATGTAATGCTTACTGTTCAGTTACAAGCAAACTATTTTTAGGATTTTGAAACATATTTTAAACTAACCTGGAATCTCTCTAATACATTAATCCAGTGCTAGGATAAATCGATTTAGTTGGGAACATCGTGTCCTGTCAGTAAATTATGCAATTAGGATGGGTTTTAAAACAAACTATATGTCCCGTAAATC